TGAGTTTCTGTTTGAGGCTCCAGAGTTCATGCATTATTTTAACTTACTGACTTACTTAAATCACACTTTGTTTCCTTTCAGAGTTAGCAGTTCATGCGTGTCTGCACGTTTGCATTATGTCAGCAGCTCGGACACAAGCATTTTGTTTTATGTTGTACTGTATGTGACACATAAAATGTGTATTTTTAATTTGTATTTAAAATGAGAAAGTCTGTGGGGTCTGCTCTCTTGAGGTGGAGGCTGAGATAAGTAATAACTGGTCACCTGCTTCAACACTTCAGGTACAGGTGGCAATTTGACCAGATACTGTTTGTTTCATTCACGTTTGAATTTGTAAGTTGAACACTTGAAAGACCGGCATTCAAAAACAATTCTGACTGAAATTTCAAAAAACATTTACGCTTAAGATTACACTCCAAACTTTTTTTTTTGGTAAAGCTTATCTGGCTGGATCAGGTGACCCTGAATCATCCTTTAGCTGCTATAGGCTCAGACTGCTGCAGCACTTCTTCACTCATCTGTTGTCACATGTTTATAGAGCACTGCAGCATGTCTCTGATTAAAACTGGGTTATTATCTAGCATTTATATAATACTACCTTCTTTATATATTTAAGTAGTTTAGCCCAGTCTCTCTCAAACCAGGACACATTCACAGGATAACCCGGCCTCACAGGAGGACTGAGACATTACTTTAGAATTAATGACAGTATCTGTAACTACAGCTGAGAATCATGATGTGTCTGTTAAAAATGAATGTTCCCATGTTATGACTTGTGTGTTTTCATCATATGTCACAGCCACGGGTACACTGGTGGAAATTCACCAATCACAACACAAACACCTGAGAAAGAAAGAACCTTACAGCGAGCTCTAACTCTTATGTTTTTACACTGAAGCGCCAAACTCCTCACATTTGTTTTTTCAGATGTACATGAAGAACTCATCAGAGTGGCTGACATGGAGGTATTTGAGGACTAACGGTACCTGGGGGTACACACTGACTGTAAACTGGACACAGACGCTGTCTTCAAAAAAAGGGCAGAGCCAGCTTTTCCTACTGAGGCGGCTCAGGTCTTTCAATGTTTGTAGGAAAATGCTGACCATGCTCTATCACTCTGTGGTAGAGAGTGCTGTGTTCTTTGCAGCTGTGTGCTGGGGCAGTGGGGTGAAGACAGCTGATGCTGAACAAGCTGGCTGGTTCTGTCCCGGGTGTCCGACTGGAGAACCTGGTGGAGGTGTCTGAGAGGAGAATATTAAAATAGCTTCTCAGCATCATAGACCATCCCTCTCATCCCAGGAGCCATCGGAGCACAAAGACTCATCGCCTCTAAATGCAGAACTGACCGCCACAGGAAATCCTTCCTACCAGTGGCTATGAGACTGTACAACTCTTCATCACTCTGTAGGTGACTTTATTATATTAATCCTATAGGATTAATATGAATGCATTTTATTCCCACAGATTGTGCAATATTGTTACTCATCTGTATGTTGAATGTTTTTTTTCATTCCCCCATTACATGCTGCTACTCTCTTTTATTCATTGCACTTTTAATTCTTATTCTTATTTTTATTTTCATGTCTATTTTAGCGTAATTTATGACAGTATGTTTGCACTGAAGCAACGCAGCAATTTCCTAATGTTGTAAACCTGCTCAACATTTGGCAATAAAACCCTTTCTGATTCTGATTCTAACATGTCACTTGTCATAATTACTCGCGCTGATAATTATGTTATTTTATTTTTTCTGCACTAACTTTTCCTCTTGCTGCATTGAGCATGTTTATGACAAAATAATTTCCCTCGGGATAAATAAAGTTCTTCTCATTTTAAATAAGAGCAAATTAAAATTACTTTTGCAGTCATTTTTCTGCCGTTAATGTCACAATAAAAACTTCTGATAAACATTTGATTTTCTTTCCATGTAAAACTATCTTCAGTTTTGATACTGACAACGAGGTTTTTTTTATTATTATTACAATTTTTTTTAAAATAAAATGGGCCTTTTATTAAAAACCTTTAACACAACTGGGTTAACACAAAATTTGTGTAAAAGCCAAGTTGCAGTCGCTAGATGGCAGTAGTGCTCAAAATCCCCAATACTGCAGACCTTCATTTATTTCAGCTCGTTTCACTTTAGGTGAGCGTCCCAGGCATGTCCAGTTCATGCCCCGGCGTCAAAGCTTACACCAGTATTTAAAAAGAATCTGTCAAAAATGAATTATAACGACAGCTTTTAAGAAATAATCGTACTGTGGTACTTTTGTGTCGTTGCTGAAGTAAAGGAACTCACCCAAAACATCTTGTCCAATCATAGCGCTGCTATTGTGCATGGGAAGTAGTCTGCGCCTTGGAGACTTTCTGGCCAGCTGAGAGGTGGTCTTTGTATGACAGAGCTGAACAGGGGCTCTGACTCTGCAGATCTGAGGGAACAGGGGCTGCCACAGCTGCTGGGAACAGAAGTTAAGCTTGAGCGTTGAGAGGAAACAACAGACTGCAGGAGAACCAAAAAGTAGGCGCTCGAAAGCTGCACCGGGAGATTCCCGTGTTTCTTTCGCTGATGCTGGGAATTTGATCAACTCTTATACATTTTCAAAACTTTTTGGTGAGAGCCAGATGTCTCTGCCTCTATCTCGAGACTCACTCTGAGTTTCCCAATGGCGAAAACAAAATATCGTGAAACAATGACAGAGAAGACTCCTGGATCACTGATGTGGCTTCCGCTCGTCCTCTCAGTGGCGCTGGCCGCAGGGCAAGACGCAAACACGGGGGCCGTAAAGGAGGACATCCCGGAGGGCGCATCCACCCTGGCGTTCGTCTTTGATGTGACCGGCTCCATGTACGACGACTTGGTCCAAGTGATAGAGGGCGCATCCAAGATTTTGGAGACATCCCTGAGCAGACCGAAGAGACCTTTGTATAACTTTGCCCTGGTGCCCTTTCACGACCCAGGTAATGTAATAAGAGACAAAGAGATGGTTTGATTAGGTCAATTCTGCTTCTTTTTTCTTGTTTTTCTTCTCTTTAAATGTGATGATTTGGTGCTTACTCTTTGCAGTCTAAACAAAAGCAGACAGAGGTGTGACAAATGTGATAGTTTGCTCACAGGCCGCCCTCTGACTGCCTTAACCTCCTCACACCTCCACGGGAGGCACTTCTGGGGCATTTCATCTCGCACAGATGTTCAGCCTGGCGGTCACTGTATCATTAGCATTCCGCCAGGGTTACTGTGTGGCTTTAGGTTTGCAGTGCAGCTTGATGATTATCATCACTCGTGGGTGCTCTCTCATTCTGAAAAGTAATGCCTAGGCTGTATTTTATTGGGCAGTCAAACAGTATCCCTGGCTAGTATTAGTCTTCAGAGGTGCATGGGGGGAAAAGTATTCAAATATTCAACACACACATCTGACAAGAACCGAGTCCTTGTGAAGAGTAATGTGAGACTGAGGACATCAGTCTTATTGGTCTTATTGAACAACAGCAGATTAAAGTCATCATTTAGGGTTTGAATATTTGGGTGGTAATGTTGACTCACCTTTGTCTCTTTAATTGGAGATTATGTATCGGAATTTCAGGAGCGGGACCACGCCTCCAAACACGCTCTTTCCGATTGTCATCTATATAGGTTCCCTCAGTTCTGCAAGCTGTTCATTCTCGTTTACCTGCCCCACCCTCCCTCCTTGTTCTCAATTCTTTAACTTCTTCACTTCTATTTAGTGCATGAGGATCTGCTAGACTGTCACCAGTCCCCAAACCGCAGCTCAATTCATGTCCAAGCATCACCTTTACCTACTAGAACGCTGTCAAACCTAAAATGAGGACGTGGGCCCAGCGAGTGGAAGCCCCTTTCGTGATTATTTCATTCAAAACAAGGAGGCTCAATGGTTACTTTTCACCAGCATTTAAGTGTACCACAATTCAATTCAACTTTATTTATACAGCGTCAAATCACAGCAACAGTCGCCTCAAGGCGCTTAATATTGTAAGGTAGACCCTACAATAATACACACAGAGAAAAACCCAACAATCACATGACCCCCTGTGAGCAAGCATTTTGGCAACAGTGGGAAGGAAAAACTCCCTTTTAACAGGAAGAAACCTCCGCAGGCTCAGGGAGGGGCGGGGCCATCTGCTGCGACTGGTTGGGGTGAGAGAAGGAAGACAGGATGAAGACATGCTGTTGCATGCATTTAATGTTTAGTTTCCACACAAAGCATTCTGCAAAATGTGCTTCGTGAATATTACTTCACAAAGTGCATGAAACACAATGCTTTCGTATTTTAATGTCGTATGTAGAGTACCTACATTTTTTCTAAATGCACTCGGAGCAACAAACATTCCAGGATCTGAAGGATGGAAAGAAAAGATGAATAGACGGAGGTGATCTGTGAGGTGAAGACACAGATTCCTATTCCAGATGTTTTTTTCTCTTTTCAGTTTCAGCATGTCACAAATTCTCATGAAGCACATTTCTTCAATCATTGTTTCAGTCTGCTCTGTGCCTAGAATAATAATTATATTCAAGGAGGAAAAAATGCACAGTATACACAAATCTTACAAATGATGAATTCGTTAGTGCGTGCCTCTGTGGGGAAAGTAAATCTTAGGTGATTAGCGATGCTCTTGGACAGAGAGACAGTAGTGAAAGAATGCTGCGGTTTTAACCTGTTTGTGTAACTGAAGGGCTTAATTTAGAGGAAATGTTGACTTCATTGAGAAGTGATTATAAGATTATCCTTTGGTAGTGAAACACAACAGCTCGATTGAGCGCTCCAGCGTCGACTCCTCTCTGTGTTTGTGACGTTTGTCTGCTTCTTAAAGTGTTTACGAGGATGTCAGGATGTGTGCTCCGACACCCCCAGGGGAATAGAGGAATGATTACTGCAGCGCACTGCAAGCAGGGGTAGCTGAGCATTTTGCCAAATGTTCTGACCCCGTCTCTCTCCCACTTTTTGTCCTTTTCCAACAAAATCCCGGCTCCTCGGAGAGAGTCAGTTTTGTTTTATTAAGGGTTTGCTTCATTGTGCCGCGGATCCATTTTCTCTGCTTTGCATCCAACGTGGTGCGATAACGCAGTCCCTCCTGTTTGACTTGGCTGCTTTTAAATCAGAGCTTCCCTTTTTATTTACACTGCAATCCGACACTGTAAACAAGAGAGTGTGTTTGCAATCTTTGTGTCTGTGCGTGCTTGCCTGAACGTGTGTGAAGCAAAAGAGTCAGGAGGATGCCTGGATATTGGGGTCAGGCCTGTGTGGGAAGATCAGTCAGGAAGCCTCCCCCCTTTCCTCCATCCTGCAGGCAGAGAAAGAAAGAAAGGCACAGGATCCTTCACAAGTCATTTTACCACAGTGCAAGGGCTGTGTGTTTACCGCTGAAGTCTGCCTGTGTTCTTAACAATACAATATGTCATTACTCTTGAAATGGGCATTCGTTTAATGAAAGAAGTGGCTGTACAGAAGAGTCCTGGACAGCTACAAACACGAACATCTCGCTTCTCTGGCTGCAGTCTGACGATCAATCTGTCAATAAGGACTTCAGGCTCATGCAGAGAAGCCAAAGGTGCGTTGCAAACAGGCTCGCTGCACTTCTGGAACATTTATTTGAGAGTTTACAGACAATTAAACTCATTTCACGACGCTTCCGTTCTTCCCGAGCTACGAAACGTGACCTCTAGCCCAAGACTAATGCCAGTTTGTGCATTGTTTCAATTAAAGAAACAAACACTGCATGACAATGACAGGAAATAAAATGGTAGACACTTATCTGTCTGCATGGCCCTGTTGGCATCCTTACATACACACACGTCCATGTAGCTACTACCTCGCTGTGAGAGGATGTGTTTGTGAGAGGATGTGTTTGTGAGTGTCTGACGCTTGCTCGTGTTAATGTTTAACCGTCCAAGGTTAAGACGGATCCAAACCCAGCACCTGGTTCCTAACGTGCCCAGGAAAGTCAGAGAGCCTTTAAACCTTGACACTGTGTTGTAGTGCACACTCCAACTTAATGGAGGGTGTCTAAGGCGTTTGGGGGTAGCACCGTCTTCCACTTTAGAGGACTTCAAATAAACTTGCAAAAATGTACACAACAGCATAATCGGGTTTAATATTTGTTTGCAAACCCTTTGCGGTCAGTGACGTCTATGATCTGCGGTAATGCTCTACCAGTCCTATCTTGCATTGTTGCTGGTTTTGATGGTGTCGACACACTACCAGTAGGACTGAGGGTATAGTGAAAATGACTACACTTTCATCGAGTATGGATGAAACACCGTTATCCTTAAAACCGATAGTTAACACCTAAACCTAACGCTTTTTCTATTTTAAAGATAGATGAGCTAGAGTAGGGTTGCCATTGTGACTTAGGGTTCTTTGATCTACTCTGAAAATATATGATAAAGACTTAAAAAGATCTACGTTATCATTAATCACCGTAATGTCTTTTGTCTCCCTACAATGAATGTGTTTGTGGAAGCTAAAGTCCAAACAGAGAAAGGATGAAAGATGGACAGATTTTACTGACTCATGCCTGCGTGACATCAGCGTGAAGGTTTTGAAAATGAAACAAACCACCGACGTCTTTCTTGGAGTTTTGCTTGTTTTATTCTGCACGTTCTTTGTGTTTCAGCTGCGAGATCTCAGGGTTGGTTCCAGTAAGTTGTTGGCCTTCCTTGCTAAAAATTTTCATCCAAGTTATCTAAGTTAGAAGGAGATCGAACAAAGGAGTGCGGAGTGATGGGAGGAGATGATGGAATAGCTTCTGCCTTCTCTGCAAGATCAAAGGCCGTTATCACAGAGCCCTCCATGCTGGCGTTCGCGTCCTTTTCTACCCCTCGTCCCTTTGTTTCCTTCCTTCCAGAGTAGCTTTTTTTTGTCTGAACTGCCCCGCCCGTGTGAGATTACGCACAGCCGGCGTTTAGCTGGACAGAGTCAGTAATGATGCTATTAGGCAGGAATGCCAAAAGAGAGAGGTGGAGGTTCGGGAGAAAATAGAGGAGGAGAGAAAAGTGTGGCAGACTGAAACTGTGTCTGTGAGTTTTATGTTTTAATGGATGCGGAGTATTAAAATAGGTATTAACTTTTAGGGCTGCACCTCCTGACGTGGCCCAAGGTGCTCGTAGTTCAGTGGGTTCAACTCACGACACACGAGTGGAAGGTTTCCAGTTGTCACTGAGCGACTTCTTTCATCTTGGACGCTCATCCCCGAAGACTGCTACAGAAAACCGCGTCACACTTTATCCTTTATGTTTAAAACTTCGACAGCTTTACAGATCCTAAGGTTCAAGGATCTTCTTGCCTTTTAAAAAACAGTCACATCTAGATGATCTTAGGATCCACTGGCCCACATAACCCCATGCATAGTAAGTGGCCCATTCGTGAAGTATTTGTCAAACATTTTTCTCTCTCTGCTGTGTGAACTTGTTTTCTAATCTCCACTGGAGGCTCATCAACCCGAGGTTCAATGTCCTTATGACCTTCTAGACTCTTTGACATCACTGTCTGGGCTCCTGCCAGTATCCCTTTGACCTTTTGTAGCTCTGCTCTTGTTTGTGTTTTTTGATAAGTGTCTGGCTGTCAAGACATGAACCTGAAACAAAAAGCAGTGGTGAAACAATTTCATATAAAAGATTTTCCACACACGTCATCATCTGGGAAGGAGCGGTGCTGGACAGTGAAAAATGTGTGAGCTTGCACTTCTGTATAATTACATTGTTAAGTAAGTTGACGGGTTAGCTTGTGACTATCATGACCAGACGTAAAATATTGTGTAAAAGTCTTGAGCCATCCCTTTTCTTTTTCTTTTTCCTGTAAAATCAGAAATAGGCGTTTTACTGAAATGCTCAAACATACACAGAATTACAGCATATAAGGCAAAAACAGAGTTTGCACAAGTCTAGAAAGCTTGAAAGTCAATATTTGGTATGATCACGTTTATTCTTAGAGACAGTCTGAACA